GAGAGGGAGAGAGAGAGAGAGAGAGAGAGAGAGAGAGAGAGAGAGAGAGAGAGAGAGAGCTAAGAAAGACTGGAGGGAAGGGATAAGGACGGGAGAAGAGAACAGAGAGACAGAAAAGGAAAACCAGAGAGGGTAAAAGTTTCACATGTAAAATGTAAATTTGCTTTTCATCGTTACAGCTTTGGATTGGAAATTAAATCTTAGCAACCTTATGATAAACCCACGTTGACGGGATGCAGTACCGGCGGAACACCTTCAATTAAGGGGGGGGGGGGCACTGCCGACTTTTGGTCCCATTCTTTCCATGCAACGCTCATAGGGCTAATGTTGAAATGCCAAAATCAAAGGGGGGCACGGTGCCCCGGTGTCCTCCCCGTTCCGCCGCTTATGACGGGATGGGGACGTTTTTATGGTCGTCGTTGGGAGCTCGGCACTAATGGGTTCTGGGGATGATGTTGAAGGTTTCGCAAATGTTTCATAAAAGAGATGCTATTTTTTTGCACAACCTATTAAACATTTTTTACGTTTGCTATTAAAATGTTAGGCCCAGTTCCTTCAAGATCAGGTCCACGACTCCACACTCCACAGCTTACAGCAGGAGCTACCTAACATAACAATTAACCCGCGCCGTGTTGATGGCATGAACTTTCCGTCGAGTGCTGGGGGGGGGGGGGGGCGTTTCACGCCCCTCCGTCTAACTCGGCTCCTGGGCCACGTAGCGACACGCGGTAAGCGTCAATCGAAAGAGCGCCAAAAATTAGGAGGAAAACACTCGGTCATTTTAAGGTCAGGGCAAAGGTCAGGTCACCAGGGTTCATCAAAGGTCAAATTTTGTTGATTTCAAACGATTTTTAACACCCGACGGCTAACTCGGGAACCAGTAGAGCTACAGTGCCGCGGAAAAGCGCATTCGATAGCTCTTTTAACGCTCTTTCGCCAACATGTCCTCAAATTTGGCCGCAGATCGACGGCTTAGCCCCCAGAGGGCACCGCTCTGATTGAGCTCAAATTTGACCTCAGATCAACGATGTTTTCACCGCTCTAGCACGTCTCTGTCAAAAGTAAAAAAAAAACTGCTGAAGACCTTTTATGTCCTAAAATGACCTCAGGGGCACACACAGGGGTCACAGGTGCAATTTTCCGATTCAGTGTGTCATGTTTACTTATGGACCGATGTTTGAGAGGGTGTAGAACGAAATTCGTCCAAAAGAGGCGCATTTCAATTTTCTCCCATTGACTTATACCTAATGCAGCTCTCGCAAAATTGACCTGACCTTAGGTCACAGACATAAAAAAATCCGAGGTATCCATTTTATACATACTGCTACCCTACGCAATTACTGAAAGATTTAAAGTGATCGCTCAGTCGGTTTGTTTAGCTACAGCGAGCTTTCGATTTTTTTTCTGAGGTAAGGTCACTTGACGTTACCTGGTGACCTGACCTTGAATGACGCTACGCGTCGCGTTGCCGTTTTTGAGATATTCGCGATAAACCTGAGGGGGAAGGGCATAAAAACGCCCCCCCCCCGGCCCCCAGCACGGCGCGGGTGGTCGACATAGCGACTCGGACTGAACAAATGCCTTTAACGTTCCAACGGTTGAATAAGGTGAGAGGATTGAGGTAGGCTTGTATCGGATTTTCTTCTGCTTGTCGGTAGTTTATGGTTGAAGTTAATTTCGCGAGCTGTCCATAATCATTCAAGAGGGAAAATTCAGCTGCACATCGTTCGGGTCAAAGTAATACCAAACATTCTCAAATTTTGTAGTAAAGAGCCAGTAGTCTACGAATATATTTAAAAAAAAACAATTAGAAAAAGAATAAGCGGACCGGTTTCGTCTATCAAAGACTTCTTCAGCGCTTTTTCAAAAACGTAAAATAATGAAACCAGCACAGTGACAATTGTTTGAAATAAAATTGGATTCAGTAAGAACTAAGAACTTTATTGTCCGAAAACCGGTGGGAGTTGATAGCTCAATGACACTTAGAGCCGTGCATAAGGAGGCGTGAAAACACTCTCCTCATCTCGTTCTATTACGGGAGGACCATGTCATGGCGTGAGAAAGGTGTTCTCAAAATAAATGACACTGTATGAGTGAATAAATAATCCGCGCCCCCTTGGGTTATTGGCAGACCCTATACCACCTGATCGGGTGGTGCAGCCGTTTCGCCTTCCACCTGAGATCTCGGAAAGTTACCGACCGATTTTGAACATTCAAAGAGCGTTCGATAGCCCCACCAGGGAACTACCTTGTTACCAGGTTTCGTTGACCTGGGTGCAACCCATGACGTCACAAGTCAGGTCAAAGGTCGCATTTTTCACCGATTAATAAGAGTTAGCAGTTTGGTAGCGCTGTTTATTTGACATCTTTTTTATCTTGAATATTTTTCGTTATCTTCAAAACTGTAAGCGTGACAGCTCTTCCCGCTAAACCTTTTATTGGGTCGAAAGTGACAGAACATGACATCCCTCTGACGTCATTTGTGACTAACCTTTATAAGAGCTCTGGAAAAATTTGGTTACAAGGTGTAAAAATGATGCCCGGAGGGGTCTTGAAAGTTTGGTGGCGACATTTGCTATACTTTAGGAGATATCGACTGAAAAGGAGAGAGGGGGCCGTTTCGCGCCGCCCTCCCCCCTCTCAGCGCCGGGGCTTTCAGTTGCTGCTCTCACAGAAATATTGGTTATATTACAACGTAGTGGAATTGCAAGTGGCAATATAAGCTTCCTGCCAGCGCCGGACCAGAGTTTAAACATGCAGGCTGAAGTTTAACAATTAACTAACTTTTGAATTTTAAAATCGTTGAGCTTTTTAGAAGTTGTATGAACTGTTCAGCTCCTTTTTTGGTCCATCACAGCGGGCTTGTATGTCATTTGTCAACCAAAATCGAATTAAAAACTTTTTATTTGGTCTGGCTAACTCACCAACTTCTTAACTGGATCGTTTAGTAGCTTTTGATAGGGCACTGCCCACGTTGTCTGTCTAGCTTTTCGTGTCATAGACACTGTCTATGACACGAGAAGAGGTTGCTGACATCGTTTGTCGCGGTTGGATAATACCAATCCACGTCCCAGTGGCTGCTCGATCGCACTTTCCCTGGCCCACCTCTCCCACCAGGCTAGATTTTGTCCGGCACAGCCGTCGCCTCAGTGCCTCGGGCGGTGACCCGTTCAAAGGCGCTCACAATTCGTATGGTGCCGTGGCTCTCAAACCAATACAGAACAGTGAAACGCAAAGGCTCACTTTCCATATGAGGCGAACGGCTGATTCTGGCGCCGGGGCTTCATTCATGCTAAGGCGCTCCATCACAGCGCCGCATTTCAGTTAGTGTCGGGCGCAAAAGCTACTATGCTCCGCCCCTCCATCACGTGACCCTGCCCTCACGTGGCCTCAGTCACGTGGTGTTTCCACTTCTTGGCGCATGGCGGCGCTAGTCTCGCAGGGGCGGTGGTAGCTTGCTCCCCCGCCGTCCGGGGGTGATGGGTAGCAACTGCTGGTGACTGTACTCTAACTCGACTTTCAGACAGCTGCTAGCATGTCTCTCACCTAGCACCAGATGCATTAAACCTCCTTCTCTTAGGGTCATCGTGCGCTACAACTACTCGACAACCAAACAGAACGGAGCAGATTTATCCTGTGCACGAACGTTGGGACTTTCGGATGTTGACCGTGACCTTCCGGAGGGTCATGGGTCGACTGAGGTCAAAGAACTGCGATGGCCGGGAATCGAACCCGGGTCAACTGCTTGGAAGGCAGCTATGCTCACCACTATACCACCATCGCTGGTTCCGATTAGTTTTAGCGTTCATAGATATCACGAGCTGGTTTTTGCACGAGTCACGTTTTTCTCACGGTCTAGTGCCGGCCGAGTGAAAGCTGCTGAACCTCCGTGTCGTCTAGCGGAAGACTGTGAAGTTCTAGTTAACATCGCGCCACTAGATGGCTCTGGTTGTACTCATTTTACAATGGGTCTGTTCCAGTCGCACTTCCTAACACCTCTAAACTCCTCCAAGATTGCTTCCCTGTTCCAGTGGCAGCTCTAGCACCTATCCGTGCTTCTATCCTCAGGATACTGAAATCCTTCTCCCCCACGCCACAACCCTCTCCGGGCTGGACAGGCAACTTTATCTCATGCGGGCTGCTCCCTTGGAGCAGCACCGCTGCTCCTCAGGGAGCGCACCCCGTAGCCGGGTGCAGTGAGTGCCTTGGGGCTGGGTGGCCTGTCCTCTGGACGGGCTCAGCCCCGGCGACTCACTAGGGTGCCTGCCCAGACCAATGTCTCCCCCTAATTCCTATCATCCTTCCGGCTCTGCAATGGTCTTGTCGACCGAAAGGGCCTAACCCAACAAAACAACAAACAAACAAAGGCAGCTCTAGCCCCTATATGTAAAGCCAAGAAGGGCTCTGCTCCAACCTCCTTTATCTTGCTCTTGGAGGAGTTTAGATGCGTTAGGAAGTGCGACTGGAGCAGACCCTATGTAAGTACCGATCTAGGGTGTAGCCACCTATCCGTGCTTCTATCCTCAGGATACTGAAATCCTTCTCCTCCAGCCCGCAACCCCCTCCGGGCTGGACAGGCAACTTTATCTCATGCGGGCTGCTCCCTTGGAGCGGCACCGCTGCTCCCGAGGGAGCGCACCCCGTAGCCGGGTGCAGTGAGTGCCTTGGGGCTGGGTGGCCTGTCTTCGGACGGGCTCAGCCCCGGCGACTCACTAGGATGCCTGCCCAGACCAATGTCTCCCCCTAATTCCTATCATCCTTCCGGCTCTGCAATGGTCTTGTCGACCGAAAGGGCCTAACCCAACAAAACAAAAAATAGGGTGTAGCCTCTTCGTCAGTTCTTCACAGACATATGAAAGAGTTAACATCTTTTGAAGGTGGTACTCGTATAAACTTTAAGCATAAAACGTTCTAATTTCTCACTGTACAATTGCATTCCACTCTTCGCCCTCCTCCCGTCTTCCAACCCGACCCAAACACCCTCCCGTTTTTACCCACAGACGACTCCTGCGCAAGCCGAACGTCCCCGAGGCGGCGGAGGAGTTCGGTCGCCTGGCCAGCCGGCTGGCCCAGTCGGAGCTCCCGGAGTACGCCGGTCTGACACAGCTGGCCCGCGCCCGGTGTCTGGAGACGCTGGGCAGCCGCACGGCAGAGACGGACGCGCTGATCGCCGCGGCCAGGCAGTTCATGCTGGTGAGATGGAAATCTGTGGTGGGGAGGTTGGGGGCTTTGAGTCTGGGGATGGCTATGATTCTAACGAAAAATGCCAATGGTAGCTATTTCAAGAGTCTGCTTACTGTTATTATATTAAGAGCTCATAATATGATCTCAAGATAATACTATGGTTGTCATGCTTGTTGGACAGGTGGGTGGCAATCAAATGCAAACTAAAATGAACTTGGAAGTGTTCCTCCCGTGATCTGTCTGTCATTCCCATGGTGACTCATCTACATATTCTAATCCCCCTGTGTTGTGCGGGTAACACATCTGATACCCATCTAATCCCCTCTGCAGAGTGCAGACCCATCTGACCCCCCCCCCCCTCAGGCCCACCAGGAGCAGAGTGACCAGCACGCGGCCACGAGCGGCGCGCAGCTGCAGGCCGCCATCGCTCTGTACAACGCCGCCATCCGGCACCAGCTGTCCGCCCAGCGCGGATTACTGGCCGCTCGGACCTGCCTGGAGCTGGCGCACGCGCTGAGGAGGCAGGGCAGGACCCGGCAGGCGCTGCTGTACTTCCAGGACGCGGCGGATCTGCAGACACCTCCGGCGGCGCTGGAGAGCCGCGAACTGGCTGTCAGGTGTCAGCTGGAACTCGGTGAGAGGGGAAGGGGAGGGAGAGAGATAGAGGAGGAGGGGACGGTGTCAGCTGGAACTGGATGGAGAAAAGACGTAGAGCATGAAAGGGCTGGCAGATAGGAAGAACACGTCTGCTAAGAGTTGTTAAGACGAAAAGGGGGCATAGTATGGATGATAGAATATGAAGATAACAAATCGTCGTTTGCTGGCATGAAGTGGCGTTTGTCTACTTGATCTCCTTTATCTGTTAATGGAGGCAGCTTTTCAGTCTGCGTTCATTCGTCTCTATAACCTCCTAGCTAGTGTTGTAAAGTTTCCAACTGACCTGTCACTCTAACTTTGCGTTCTATCTCCCCCCCCCCCCCACGCCACTGCTTTTGTCATCCTGACAACACTCCTGCTACCCCGTGTTCCAGTGGACCTGGAGGCGGCGCTGTCCAGTCTGGACGATATGCACACGGCGCTGGAGGAACTGGGAGGCAGCAGCAGCGCCCACAGTCTCACGGCGCGCTACTTGAGATGGTGAGGACCGGTGGGGGTGAGGGGTAGCCGCGGGTTGCGATGTACTCGTATGTATGTATGTATTTACCTTACCATCATGGACAATCCACACGGGTCGTGGCGATTTCAGTCCAGATATTAGTTGTGCTGTTAGAGAAAGATGGGCTCTAGGTGTTCCACAAACTAGTGCAGATTACTACAAACATAAGGAGAAAATTATAGGTATTTATGCACGAAACTCGCGTGATTGACGGTACCAATGCAGCTAATGCTCGTTGCTCAATGCTCAATTCATACGAACGAAGCATTTTCGCTTCATTTACCTTTCTGATCTCGTGCAAGGTAATGTGTCTCTCTCGTTCGCCCCTTTCCCACCAGCTCGCCAAATATGTATATCACTATCTAACACCCCTCACCTCCTACCCATCTGTTCACAGGTGTGAGGTGACCCAAGTCCTGCTGCTGTTGGCCGCTGAGCCGCCGGCCTCCCAGCCCAAACCGGCTCACACCCGGCTGCTGGATGGACTCACCAAACCAGACGGCCGGCACAGAGGTGGGTGGTCACTGATTATCGGTCAGTGGATGAGGTGGTGTTAAGACTAAAGTCAGTAGACTTGGATGGGGTGGTGTTTAGACCTAAGGTGGCCGGGGGTGGTTAAGCTGATGCCTGGACCAAGTGGTCGGGCGCATTTGACGGTGTTAGATTAGATTTGGTTAAAATATTCGACGGACTGGATGTTCGTATTTGAGTGATATTGAGTGGCTAAGGTCGGTAGTATTTTTGGGACACCCAGGTATACAATGATTTTTTTATGTTTTGATAGTGTGTACTGTGTATCAAGTAGAACGTTGACTAACCAGCCATGGATTCTTAGCGATGTTTCCCACAAAGGTAAAGCTCATCTCCATTTTTTTTCTGCCGCCAGGTGGCCACCTCTCGGAGTGCGTCCACCTACTCTTCCAGTCTCTGGTGTTGGCCGTGCGGCGGCGCCACCTGTCGGCTCTGTACCGGTTGGAGGGGGATCTGAGGCCGCACCTGGACGAGAGCCAGCGCCACCTGCTGGACAGGCTGGTCAGACAGGTCGAGACGCGAGTGCCGGCACAAAAATGAGTCGGGGAGGGGAGGGAGGGCATGAGACGGGGTTCGGCGTTTGGTGAGGGGGTGTGAAGAAGGGTTAGGATTGTGCACTGCAGTGTGCACTGAAGTGAATTTCTGTTGAGCTTTAAGGGATTTTGACTGGAAGAGTTGGATATTTGATTGGTAGCATTCCAATGATGAATGGAGTGACCGAAGGATGGAGCGAGTATGCAAGAGCAACGTAGAATGTGACAAAGTGATAGTTATGTGTGTGCCAGATATAGGATGAGTTAGCTGGGAGATGAGTGAGGAGAATGCTACGAAAAAAAGGTGCTTCGAAATTCCGATGATATTCGAGGTGCCGTGGCAATGATGCTAAAATGAGATCTAACAGTCCCTAGTCCTTATCTGCAGCTGACCACAATCCCACATTCAGTCACCCAGCAGAAAGTGTTTTCCTTGAAACTAAAGACGGATGCGCTCCCTCCCCCAAATCGGCCTATCATGGATTATCCCTCCCTCTAATCTGCCTGTTTGAGCCCTGGCTGGATATTCTGAGCCCGGTGCCTGGCCCGCCCACCTCGGTTCTCTGGCTGTCGGGCGTGCCAAACGGGTCCGCTGAGACCCTCTGCGTGTGGAGGGATGGGTTTGAGCACGTGGAGAGTGGAATTACAGTCACCCCACGGCCCTAATCTGCCCGGTGCGTGCGGCCACCGCGCGTCTTGGCGGTGGCCAGGGCTTGTGGTTAGGGTTTGTGATTAGCGGGGAGTCTGGTTATTAGTGTTCAAATTTTGCGTCTCATAACCTGATTTGGAGAGGTGGTACACAAAATTACGTAGGCACTGCCGTTGTTAATTTTTTATGTTTTTATCTCATATGTATGTGAATTTTATTGTTTGGTTACTTTTACGGCGGGTTCATTGGTGATAAAAGCAAAATATATTTGTTGTGCTCGATTTTTCTTTTTGAGCTCATGTTATGACAAATCACGTAGTATTGCTGGTCGATATTATTTATTGCTCATCACATTGCAGGCAGTGACAACATATGCGTAGCCGTTCTGCAGGATTTTACATGTAGAGGGACCGGGGTCGAACATGCTTACAATTAACCCTCGCCGGCCGAGGGGGGGGCGGGTGCCGCCCCCCCCCCATAGGGTTTTTTTCGCGATGCTCCGAACACGCTGGCGATAGAGAGCTGAAACTTGGCATACCTGACCTTTGATCCAAGCCGGATCTTTTGACACCAACCGCACTTTTGGGTCAGGTCAGGTCACTGACCTATGACGTCATAAGTGAACCTCTGCACGGTCTTCAGATGTCGCAACTTCGCAACGCCCTCACTGCCAGAGGAGATGTCACAGGGAAATGAAACTTGCAGGATCTAGTATCCATTATGAGTCCCACAACTTGTATATCTCGGATTTTTCCTACAGGTCATATGAGGTCAGGTCATTTTCGTGACCTCACCATTATAAGTCAATGGGGAAAAATTCAAACTGCTATTCTGGCGCCGGGAACGATCTCCAACTATCTCAAGCACACAGAATCGTGATTTGATGCACTCCTTGCAAGGTTAGATGCGTACTTTTGCAATGTTGACCTTGCGTGACGTCATTTATGACGTCATCAAGGTCAAATTAGTTTTTCGTCAATAACTCTTGATCAAATGGAGCTAGCGAGTCGGGAAAGGCACCAATGGACTCAGGAAGGTCTGCCGAATCGAATGATATGCGACATGACCTCTTTCGACCAACTTCGTGACCTGGGGGTGCTGACCTGACCTTGACCTGAGGTCAACACCCCAAGTTGACCTGACCCGGACAAAAAGTATATCATTCGACGCGCCTGAGCGAGGCGAACACGATGCTGCCAAAATCGGCGCTCTGCGGCCGTTTTTTGCGAAGTTATTCACCAAAAACTGAACCGTACCCTGGGGCACTTGACCTGACCTCAGAGGTCACCGGTTGACCTAGGACCTTAAAATCGGGTACCAATCTCTGCGTCTCGTAACGGCGCACACGCTCGTTTTTTCCGCGACGCGCTAGCTCCACCAGGGGCGAAACGGCGAGGGGGGGGTCGTACCCGCCCCCCCCCCCCCTCGGCCGGCGCGTATGTAGAAAACCAATAGGTCCGGCGAGGATATAATTAGATAAATAAAAAAACAAAACATAATCCGTAGTCAGTTTCGGCGAGCGATCAGGAACTCTTCGAGCAGTGCTAAAGAGAGGGCGAGTATAGACAAGATTTGGACATTGTTGGTTCAAAATGGGTACCCAGAGAAAGTTCTTAGAAGGCTCTTGTGGGAGGTCAAACAGCAAGGGTCCAGATCCAGGATGGGTAAAGTTAGTCGAGACAAGGGCGAAGATGGCTTCTTATGTTTACCGTACATAGATGAAGAACTGCTATGCAAAATTCAAAGTAAAGTTAGGAAATCTGGCTTAGCTGTCAGGATAGCATGGAGGAACCCCCAAAAGCTACGAAACAAACTGGTTAGATCATCACTATCTAAACCTATCTGCCCTGGAGGCCCACGATGCAACATGTGTAAATCAGATTTTTCAGGTGACTGTACACAGAAGAACGTCGTCTACAGGCTAAATTGTAAGTTGTGTGAAGGAAAGGGTGACGACGGCACATATATTGGCGAGACAAAACGACCTGTTCGACTAAGATTTAACGAACATTTACGAGACGCCTTGAGCGCATCCGAAGGGACCCCGATGGGAGACCACTTCCGTGAGCACCACCCCGGCGCGCCGCTAAACAAATCATCCCTTCCTCTTCAGGTTCGCGTCCTTTATCGCTCCAAAGACCACCCGGACAGAAAAATCGCAGAATCCCTACTTATAAAAGCAAACCGCCCGCACATAAACTCAAATCTTTCGTCGTGGCCAATCATGTAAGCGCCTGTATCATGTGTATCTTGTGAGCGTGTAGCCTTTTCAACTCAATCGATTAATATGTGTATGTGTATATTATTTTGTTATGTGTGTGATGTACATCGGCGTTAGTGTACATACCTTCCATACGATGTGTGTTTGACAGCTACGTGTACAATTGTATATTATGTATGTTACGTACATCGGACACTATGTAGACAATCGGTCTATCAAATAGTTTGCCCTTATGAGTAGCGCCTTTCCTAAAATATCACGATCTTCGGTTTTTGAAAAATGGCAGACAGATTATTCACAGGATCGTCTTTTAACATTGTTATCACGTTGGTTTGATAAAGGCCAGTGGCCGAAAGCTCACCGTTTTTTAAAATATATTATTCGGCTTTTTACATTTTTGATGTCGAGGAAAAGGTCAACTTCTTTTATTTATCTAATTATATTCAATATGTTCCTCGCTCGAGCACTTAGTAATATTACCAATCAGGTCCGGCGAGGGTTAAACCGATGTTATTCGGCGCAAGGTTCTAAACGGAAAGGTTCTTTGACACAACACCCGAATTTGTGTACCTACCAGGTGATATGGATTCAGTGATTAAATGCCTCGTCATGCTAAATTTTCACTCCCCGTGCTGCATTCCTTTGTGTTTGTGGCTGGTTTTAAGCAGATTCTTGTTTTCCATTTCGCTTGTTGGTGTATTACACTGGCACAGTTTTAAACGTAAAGTCGCAGTGTAATGCGTAGGAACGAGGGCACGCTTCCAAGCTGGACAGGTGCCACTGTCTCCATCCGTAAAAGTCCTTCAGATTACCTGCCAGACTTACATACTGATGAGTACGGAAGCCGGCCGCATGATGTCGTACAAATCGACTTATTACGCTTGTAGGTAGCCATGTTAATGCATAATGCTCGCTGCCGGCGAGTTTCTTATAACGGTGCTGGATTTGGAAGGAGTCAAAGCAATAAAAATGGAGTCTGCAATTTGGCTTGGGTTCTGGCTGTTTAAAGCTAAATAGCAGGCTTGCTTTTGGCATATGATTTTTCTTTTGAAAGACAGGATGCTCATTGCTCATAGTATTCTGGCTGGAGTAGCCAGTAGAAACACTGTAATATACAGATATCTCTTGTATTTCGCCACAAAATCGAGACATATATAGTTTTACATACGAACTTAGTTATCTAGTATTGCACACATGTGGCGAGAACATCGAATGTAATAAACGAATACATATGGTTTTCAATATACACATTGCCAATACAATTGTCCAAACAATACAGCAGTTTAAGCGAACGGAACGTTAAAAAGGGGGGCGCACAACTTAATCAAAGGCTTTAGCAATTTAGAGACTGGTAAAAGCGACACCTATTAACAAAACTGTAACTAGCGGTTCACAGCATCTAGCGGTGACCGGCGGAAGTAAACGCGCCTAGCGGTGACCGGCGGTACATGCAGGGGCTACATCACTCCCCCGCCCTAGTTAAACACCATAAAAAGAAGTTTGGCGGCGAGTACGCGACGAACGGCGGAGAGGGGGCGGCGAAGCAGGCGGCGGGTCCGGCGGCACGCGGCGAGCCGGGCGAGAGCCGCCGGGGGCACCTGACCGGCTGGGTGCAGGCGATGCAGCAGGCGGGCGGTCCACCGAGCTGTCTGTCGCTGTAGTAGGCGTGTCGTTCACCAGGACGTCCGGTGCTGCAGGCGGCGTTGCGGCAGGCATGTTGTCCGTGAAGGCCGGTTTACACCGAGCCAGGGTGACGGTGTCACGTCGCCCGAGACGGTCGATGGTGACGGTGTGCTGGTCGCGGGATAGGACACGATAAGGACCGTCATAGACGTATTGGAAAGGAGAGCGATGCGAATCGCGTCGGATGAAGACGTGGGAGCAGGTTTGCATGTCTTGAGAGATGAAGATTTGGCGGGAGCCAGGACGAGGAGGAGTTGGACGGAGCTCCGACATGGCGGCACGGAGACGAGAGGCTAGGGAAGCCGGATCAGAAGAAGTGTCCGACGACATGGGGGAGAGGAAGTCACCAGGAAGTCGGAGACTGCAACCATAGACTAGGTCTGCAGCGGTGCATCCGAGATCCTCCTTGAGGGTCGTGCGCACTCCGAGTAGCACCAGAGGAAGTCGGTCCGACCAGGAGACGGCGTCGTCATCGGTCCGCAGAGCTGACTTCAGTTGGCGGTGGAAGCGCTCTACCATCCCGTTTGCTTCTGGGTGGTAGGCGCAGGTCCGGATCCGAGAGGTGCCGAGAAGCTTGGAGACTTCTGTCCAGAGGCGGGACTCGAACTGGGATCCTCTGTCGGTGGTGATGAGTTCGGGTACTCCGAAGCGGGCGATCCAGCCGCTGACGAGATGCCGAGCCACCGTGACGGCGTCCATGGTGGGCAGAGGAATTGCCTCGGGCCATCGGGTGAAGCGGTCGACGACAGTCAGGAGGTAGGAGTTGCCATGGGACGGAGGAAGTGGTCCGACAAGGTCGATATGGATGTGCAGGAAGCGAGAGTCAGGTGGCTGGAAGCTGCCCATGGGTGGCTTCGTGTGGCGCTGGATCTTGGCACGCTGACAGTGCTGGCAGCTCCGGACGAAGGCACGGATGTCCGTGTTGATGTGGGGCCAGATGAACCTCGATGAGATGAGATGACGCGTAGCGTTGATGCCAGGATGAGACAAGTCGTGGAAGCTCTTGATGATGGAAGGGCGGAGTCTGGCTGGGACTACAGGTCTAGGTGTGGCCGTTGAGGTGTCGCACCAGAGACGTAGATGCGGATGATCAGGGACTGGGAAGTCACGGATGACCAGAGATGAGGATTGTTGCAGCTTCGGCAGGTCAGGATCGTTGGCTTGGTGTAGGGCGATGTCGGCCAGGCTCAGAAGGCCGGGTGAGGGTGTAGCTGCGGCAGAAGCCGGCGCAGACACTGAGCTGATCCGTGAGATGGCGTCAGCTACCGGGTTGAGGTGTCCAGGAACATGTCCGATCTTGCTGGTGTGCTGCAGAATCAGGTCCATGTGACGTTGTTCACGGAGAGAATGGTTGGCGTTGCCGTTGGCCTTGAGAGC